ATTCTTGTGTAAAATTCGTGTTTCAGGTTAACTGACAGCATTACTGTAGAAAAAGTCGTAGCATAAATAGCACAGGTTGCAGTGAAGGGAAAATTGAGTCCCAGTCCTTTCAGATAGATTGATTTTTACCTTTGATAACTGAGTGTGAATTTATTTACTTCTGTTTACTGCAATTCTTTTAGTCTTTGTAGTTGAATCAAACTATTAAATTTGTTTATATTGTATTTCTTAGATCTTATTAAAAAAAATATTGATAACTTTCTCCGTGAGAATAATACTCTACTTATTTATTTTATTACTTATTCTGCACGTGCACTTATATAGTGAATTGACACCAACAACTACATATGATGGAACTTTTTTAGTTATATATACATATACATGTATATATATAGCTAGTTATTTAGGGGACCCACACAAGATTGTCCCTAGACACGAAATGGCAAATGGGAACGCTTCCGGGCTTCACTTTGAGCATCTGAAAAGCAACATGCTGAGGGCTCCAAGAACTAGTATCAGCGTGGCAAAGCGCCACCGCCTCAACATTTGTCCCGTCGGAACCCACCAACGACACCTTGTAAGCCGTCGTTGCGTGGATTTCGTGGCAGTAAAACACTGCGTAAACATAATTCTGCTTGTGGCAAACGACCGACCTCTCTCCTATCTTCTTCACTCCTTTGGAGATGCTATAAACCTGCTTCGTCCCATTGTCACCCTTAATCCCCTCCGTTGAGTAGACCTGAACTCCTCTTCCGAGCTTCGAGACCCCGAAATCGATCAGCGACTCGAGTGATGTTGCGCAGAACTTGTCCTCCCCTCTGATGGCGGGTGCCTCGCACTGTTCGATGGCGGTCTTCACTCTATTGGCTTGAATCGAATCGGGTTTTATCCCCAAGTGTTTGAGGATTTCGGGCAACTTGTTGGTCGAAAGGGGCATGGATTCGGCGGCTTTGCGGGTCAAGAATTTGGCGTCGTTTTGGGTGTTGGGGAAATGCAGCTTCAGTTTCTGGCCTGCGTGAAGATTGGTGTCTAAGAAGAAAGTGTTAACGTCGTGCTCGTACGTGGTCTTGGAGATCTCCTGTCGTTTGGGAGCGTAGGTGATTTTGACGTCCACGGGACTAGCAGGTAAATAACGGCTAACTGGAGCATTGCTACCCTCTGTTGAATCAGTTTAGGAACCAAAAAAAAAAAAAAAAAAAAAAAAAAAAAAAAAAAAAA